TTCTATTTCCAATCATATATATCTTGATAATCAGACAGGCGATCGGCTTGTAAAAGTCACGGGGTTCCTAACTGACCTAAAGGTTTATAATTATGATTGTTACATGATCTAAATCCAGGATTTGGTTTAAGAATCTGAGACAAAGTTAACCAATCCCTTTACACGGTCGGTCAAAAAAAGTCTCTACCCCTCATTAAATTAGCTTTAATGTATGATATGCAGTTATGAGTTACTTTTTCGTTTTAGAATACGTTAACCTTTGGATAGATTTCTGTATTAAAAAGAAATTGATTTTATTACATGCTGCAACATGTTATAATTTAGAGACAGTATTAGGAGGTATAACGGAAAGACAGTAAGATGCACAGGGATCAGAGAGAGGGAGAGAGAGAGAGAGAGGGAGAGGGGGTGGGAGAGAGAGAGGGGGAGAGAGGGAGAGAGAGAGAGACAGACAGACAGACAGAGAGAGAGAGAGAGAGAGAGAGAGAGGAGTGGGTGGGTAAGATAAAGAGGGAGAAAAGATTGAGGGAGAGATATGGAAGAAGGTTTAATGTCTTCGTCAGAGTGTATGTTTTTAAGATGGCAATCATGATGTAATTCATGGATAGCAGATTGACATTTTTATGACCTTTATACATGAAATTATAGAATAAAAAGCTTGGCAAATAATTATGCACGTTGAACTATTAACGAAAATATGACATATATTCACATGAACCTGATTTTGGGTTAATTGGCATAGAATCATAGTCTGCGCCAACCTGATTGATTTGATTTGATTTGATTTGATTTATTTATTTTTTTCTGATATGATTATCTCTGTGAGCGGCATGTTCATTATTCATCATAATGTGGTATTACCATTGTATAACGAACTCTCTTCGTAATCACCTGTTGTTCTTTTCTGAGCAAGAGAACTGACCTTAATCGTTAGCATGTCATGGCGTTAAATTCTGCCGGATGTCCCGGGGTAATTCAACATTAAGGACCGTGTCCGCGGTTGAAAACGCAGTCAAAAACGATTAATGATTTACATGGTTTACCTGAGGAGTTACGGGTCTATGTCGTGGAGCATGGATAATGTTTCATGCAAATGGCGTCGCTGCCGGGGGCATAGGGGGCGCGCGAGCCTCCATTGCAAGGGCGAAAGAAAGTGAAGAAAGGAGAGGGATTTATACAAGGAAGGTGTTTGCCATGTCTGCACCTCCTTTGCACCCTCATTCCACTCGAGGGCATTTCATTCACCTTGTGAAACCGGCGCCCCCCAATATGATACCCCGAAATAGATGCTGGACCGATTAGACTCCGTTACGCCATAATTATATTGGCGCAGGTACGGGGACACGGGGTAAATGCCCCCTCCTCCTTGTCGAATGACAACAAAATCAATATTACAGACGTGGGAGCCTCATATTACCAAGTAACGATTCAACTTCTTAAAACAGTAATATGAGAGGGAAATTTCGTTTAAAGTGATAAGTCCCTCGAATATCAACCCCTCGCTTCATTTGTTGCATTTGAAAAATGTATGTTTATATTTATTTATGTATGACAACTTATTTTGTGTAAAAGAAATGTGGCTTATTCTGTTTACGATATTGTTTTGATTGGAATATTTGAAGGTTTGTATGTGAGTGGGGCAGGAGCGTACGCAGGATTTTTTCAAGGGGGGGGGGGGGAGGGTTTAACAATTTCAAATCGGATCGAAAATTTCGCAAAGCCTCTGCCAGCCGCTGAATAAGCATGGGGGGGGGGGGGTGGTATAAAAGAGGACATATTTTTGTTTTTGTTGAAAATTTGACCGATCAACATTTGGTTCCATGGGGGGGGGGGGGGGTAAGGTCACCTTTTTTAGGTCACCGATTAGCATTTTTTTTTTTTAATTAAAAAAAATAAGAAAAAAAAATAAGGGGGGTTCCTCCAAAACACACACATACAAAACTGAAGGGAGTGTTTAACCCCAGACCCCCCCCCCCTGCGCACGCGCCTGGATTGGGGTGAGAGAGAAGGAAAGAGAGAGAGAGAGGGAAAGAGGGGGGGGAGGGGTTGTTTTGGATGTTCGGCGTCTCGTGAAAGTGAAAGTGGGACAATAAACCAGGTTCGAACTCCTCGGCTCCCTCGGGGTTTCCGCCCTGATTATTCGTCTAATTCTATCCCGAGCTATTTCTGTGCTCGCATCAGCTGCCTCCGCGATTGTTCATGCACATAAATGATGCATCAGGGTTAATATTTTATTTGCTGTTCATTCAATTTTTTCCTAATTTTTTTATATCCATCTCGATTTCTTTCCCTCGACTCCCGCTACATCCGGCTCCCAATTCTCTCTTTCCCTGTCTTTTTATGATGATAATAATAATAATAGTATTAAAATAATATTACATCTATAAAGAGGCTTTTCATTAGATACAAAGCGCATAAACACTAAATATTCACAAACAAACATAGAGAGGGAGAGAGAGAGAGAGAGAGAGAGTGAGGAAGAGAACATTATCATACAAAGCTTTAAACAGAGAGGAATATTTTTGTTAAAAAGTGTTTTCAGACACATCTTGAAACTTGTGAGAGTATGGCTATTTTTAGAGGTAATGCAAAGTTTTGGGAAATTTTGATATATGTGGATGCCCCTGTGGATGTATTATAAGCAAGTTAGAAAATTTAGCCCCTAAAACACTTCTGCTTTCGAGAAACTGAATAATAATAGATTTACCGGTGCTCCCGGTATGTATATAAAAAAAAACATTTCAAATAGCGCCTAAGGCCATTTTATGGTGGCTGCGACCATGAAAATATCAGAATATGCAGATCTGATTTATAATTTCCAAACGGGAATAGCAAATCGGCTGATTGTAGTCGAGAAACATTGTTTTAAAGCTAAAGTAATATCAGTCTTTAGAGGGGGCTATACAACATAAAAAAGTTTGTTATTTCCAATTTCATCACTGTTCATTTGAACCAAATTCATGACTTCATACCATAACTTTGTATTACCTTAAGTACAAAGTGTGATAAGGAGTTCCAAGTTTTGGGGGAAATAACTGGGAAAAAAACCTATCATCTATCTATTTACTGGTTCGAGTGATGGTAAGTGCATTACCAGTATCCGATCGTGTCCATTCCAACTCCCTGATTAAACGATAGTAGTTCAAATTTCTTTCTCTCTTGCTCTTCTCCGTTCTGTCCTTATCTATCACATCGCCATTATTTCTCCTCTTTCTCCTCCCTTTGCCTCCCTTCTCCCTCTCCACCTCTCTCCCTCCCACTGTGTCCCCCAGTCTCACTCGTTCTTGATCTTTCTCTCTCTTTCTTTCTTTTCATGTTTCTGCAATTATTTACCTGCCTCTCTCCCTATCTCTAATGTTTCCCTCCCCTTCTTTTCATTTCCTTGACCCACCCATCTATCTCTCTCTCTCCCTGTCCCCCTTCTGTGTGTGTTGCGTGTGTGCGTTTGCGTGTGCGTGTGCGTGTGTGTGTGTGTGTGTTTGCGTGCGTCTCTCCCCGTCAGTCGCTATCTGCATTACGTTCTCTTACGTTCTGATGATTCTTTCTTCATTTCGAAAGAAAGCCGTCTGTCATCACCACTTCCAAATATCATCAATAAATAGCGATATTTGCAATCCATGCAGGCACTTCAATGAGTCGTGCTAACTTCGTCTTATATCTGATTAAATGATGTTTCTCAATCTATTCACATCCACTTCATGTTGTTAAAAGTGGTCAATTCTCTCTTTAATAAATGCAATACTTTGCTATTAAGAATGAAGTTGCACAACGCATCTTATTATACATCTTCCACATATCCTAAATGATCCTCCAAGCTTATTCTCTTGGCGCATTTAGTTACATCAGCGCATTAATGTGCACATGACCCTTTGTGCGAAATTTGAAGATGCTGCTCTCAACAGACCCTTCTTTAGTAGAAATTTGCCAAAGTCACGTTGGTGAATCTTGGAATGTCAAAATAATGATTGATTTTTTTTTTGTGGATAATTTTTCCTTTCTCTTTTGGAAATTTAATTTGTTCAACAAATAGTGGATGAACATTGCATTTTACGGAATTGTGTCCGATCGGACAGCAAAGGACTGATTAGATTTGTGATTTGTGAACGTCGAGTAAATTGTTAAAAATTATATAGAAAAATTATAATTTAATGAATATATCAACAGCTGCCGTTCAATCTCTTCTGATGTATAGTGTTTGATTTTCTGTTTGTACATTATATACACTCTGTTGGCAAAGCATCCCTGCCCTCAGATTGCACTCAATGCTATCCAATAACCAATTTCTTCGTAAGCTGTGGGCAAGGGGGTTACCATGCACAATGCTACATAGTCTACGACTCTGCAGACACTCACTCGTTGAAATCGTGAAACTCATAGTCCAATCTAACAGAATAATGTACGTTGCAGTACCAAATATATATTACATCTGCAACTAAAAAGGAAGGAAGTATGCAATAACTGCGCATGCGTCTGATTTTCGATTGACGCCCATTTGCACGAATTACAGAGTCGGCGAGCCTCGGTCGTAGACTAAATTTTGAACTCGAGAACATCGATCCCACAGGTAAAGCCGAGCAGGGAATCGACTTGTTATGATGATGACAGTGATATGTAATTGTGTTTCTAGATAAACTGGTAAACAAGATTTAAGAATAGGAGGAAATATAGATCTCCCTCCAGATGCGCGGATGTTTTTCCGTCATGGTTAGATTATGAAAGGGGTTCATAGGAGAGCCCTTGGGATCTTTATCTTTTTCCTGTACCCCATGGTAAAGGTTTGTTGGCAACGTTTTGTTTAGTGGGAGTCTACCAATTTTAGTTCAGTAATGACATTAATAATCAGAAGAAAACTTAATAAGAGGAACAATCCAAGGTAGATATCACATTCTCATTTCTTGAAATATATTGATAAACTTTTACTGCGAATATAGTATGTGTAAAGAGGATTCAAACATATAAATGCACAAGACCCAAGGGGAGGGGGGGGGGGGGGGCACCCGTTACAGGTCTACAATCCGAGTGAAAATACAATCAATAATCTTTGAAAGAACTGCGTTTGCTCAAGATGGAGAGACGACAGAAGGTAATGAGAGAAAAAAAATACCACAAAATTACCAGAACTTTTTAAACGAAGCTACATAAGTTACTTAAAAGGAAAAACATGAAGTTGGATAAAGAAGTTGTAATTTTGTTATAACATTTATATTTTTGCTTCGTGGTTTCTTTTTATTTCATTTTGAAATGAAATCGAACCAATTATCATTAATATACTTCAGTTGATATTATATTAGTCATATTGAGACGGTTTTAATTGAGTAAATCTATAGTAATACAGCCAATGCGGTTTTATAATGATGTACGAGATATTATTGTCACATTCATAATGGGGCATCATTTTCATGTATAGCATTGGATACAAACAAATAGTATATTAATATCTACCTTAGATTTTGTTACCATTATTAAATGTTGTTTCATAAAACTTATAATTATGTAATAAGTTGTTCAAAATCAATCAAAATCAATCTATTGAAAGTTTTGGCCACGATGGAGCTTAGACTGATTCCTCGATAGTTTCCTCCTTGGCTCAGGTCTCCAGACTTTGGTATTGGTACAATGTTCAGTATGGACCATTGGTGGGGCTTTTCTTCATTGATCAGTGCGTTGTTGCAGAAACTCAGAATTATTTCATCCAGGTCACATCTTTTTAGAACCTCTGGTGGTATGCCATCTTCCCCAAAGCTCTTCCCTTCTACTAGTGACTTTATTGCCTTTGAATATTCTTTAAGATCAAATGGCCCTGTCTTGATGTTCAGACTCTCTAGTATAGGCAGAATTTCTTCATCCTCATCATCTATATCAGGAGGGCTTCCGAGAAGATTCTTGAAGTGGTTGAACCAGTTTATGACCCTGTCTTTCTGTGTGTCTCCTTTTAACTGCCCTTTCGGGGATGCTTTCCTTCCGGTTATGTCACTTATGAGTCTCCAGCTCTGCCCATGTTTACTGTTGGCATGCGCTCTCTCCACATCTTTTAGTTTACTATCAAGATCTTCTTCTATAACTACATTGTATGCTTCCTCAAGGTTGTGCTTGGCTTGCTTGTAGATCTGCCGATTTTCATCAGTTGTATCTTTCTGGTACTCCATGTAGGCTTTATTGATCTTATTTCTAGCACTGATTACACGTGTATCGTTGGGAAAATGCAACTTTCTTGTCTTCTTTTTCACTGGGATAACTTTCTCAGTAGCCTCCTTATGTGCTGTTATGAATCGCTCATACCTCTCGGTAGCCGATTCTTCCTCCTTCTCTAGGGGCTGGAACCTGTTGCGGACTTCAATGCTGTATAGCTTCTGAAGGTGGTTGTCAGTGCTGAGAAGTTTCCAATCGTGCTGTTTTCCTTTTGCCAAGGTTTTGCTCTTTCGAAGGCTCAAACGGACTCTTGCAGATACTATTCTATGGTCGGATCCTACACTGGCAAAAGTACTATACGCCTCGACATTATTCAAGCTGTTCCTCCACTTTTTCCTTATTAGTATATAATCCAGTTGGCATTTACTTCCACCTGGGCTAATATAGGTCCACAATTTCCCTTTCTTCTTACAGTACTGACCACTTGCTATAACTAGGTTCTTTTCAACTGCCATGTCCACTAAGTACTTTCCATTTCTGTTGGTTGTTTCATGGTAAGTGTATTTAGCATCCTCAGGTCCAATTCTGGCATTGAAGTCTCCAACCACAAGAAGAACATTGTGTGCTGGTACGGAGTCAATTGCTCTTCTTAAATTGTCATAGTGTCCTTCAATGATATCCTCGTTCACTACGTTGGTTGGGCAATAAGTTGTAATGACTGTAGTTGCAGGGTTTCCAGCGTGGAGGTGGGAGTTTGAGTTGCTAGTAGAGAGGCGATTATGGACTCATGGGCTTAGATGTTAGTTGCCAGAGTACAAACGGCAGCAGAGAGGTAGAATGAGAGGTAGGATATAGAAGAGGAAAGATGATAGCTTACATGCAGAAGGAAGGTAAGGGCATGCAGGGAAGAAATGGAAGGGTGAAATGATAGCAAAGCACGCTAACCGAAGTTGCGCATCTAAAAGCCATTACTTGACCTGTACTTGATAGTCACCTGAGAACCAACCAAAATGGATTCAGAGTTGGAAGGACCACAGTGGGACATATTTTGGCACTTCGCAGGCTTATAGAAGGAGTAAAAGAAAATCAGCTCCCGGCTATTATCACATTTATTGACTTTCGCAAAGCCTTCGATACCATCCACAGAGGCAAGATGTTGAAGATCCTTACTGCATATGGCATACCGGAACAACTGGTGAATGCTATTGGCAAGATGTACGAAGACACCAAAGCAAAAGTAATATCACCTGATGGAGAGACTGACCTCTTTGAAATCATGGCTGGTGTGCTTCAAGGTGACACGCTTGCACCTTACCTATTTGTAATAGTCCTCGATTATGCCTTGCGAGCAGCTATAGACGGCCATGAAGAAGAACTTGGATTCCAACTAGAAAGAAGGAGAAGTAGGAGAGTTGGTCCGGAAATCATAACAGACCTAGATTTCGCTGATGACATAGCCCTGCTATCTGAGGAATTAGAGCAAGCCCAAAAACTGCTGAGCAGGGTGGAGACATCGGTAGGCAAGGTCGGGCTCCGGATGAATTCAGGCAAAACCAAGTTCATGTCATTCAATCACAGGAGGATCATCACTATAAAAACAAATGATGAAATTCAGTTGGAGAATGTACCTGATTTCAAGTACCTGGGAGCATTGATGGTGAGCACAGAAAAAGATGTGAAAGCTCGTAAGTCAGCAGCATGGAGAGCGTGTAGCAAGCTTGGAAGAATCTGGAAATCTTCTCTTCCTAGGCAGTTCAAACAACGTTTGTTTGTTGCTACAGTTGAATCTGTGCTTCTATACGGCTGCGAAGCATGGGCAGTTACAACAAAGCTGGCAAAAGAATTAGATGGTTGCTACACCAGACTTCTTAGGACAGCATTCAACGTGCACTGGAACCAGCATATGACCAATAAAGAGCTGTACGGGAAGGATCTACCAAAAGTATCAGAAAAGATCAAAAAAAGAAGACTACGTTTTGCAGGACACAGCTGTAGGAACATCAATGAACCAATATCTCAGCTTATACTCTGGAAGCCTAAACACGGGAAGAGGAAACCTGGAAGACCTCATCTTACTTATACAGACCTACTCAAGAAGGATACGGGACTTGAACTGTCAGAGATAAAAGCAGCCATGCTGGACAGGAATGTGTGGATGGCCATCACAGCTCGGGCAGGTGACCCGACTTAAGCAATAAGTTGTATATTGTATTATATTGTCTTTTTTTCCTATCAAAAAGTCCACTGCGGGCTTTCGTCGCCCCCTCCCTCATTCCCGATCCACTTATGCTACACAACAAGCATTGAGGGTATATGTAACAATAGGTATTGCTCTGTAACTGCAACGCGACACCATTAGTGTTAAAGGTAAAGGCCAGTTCTGGTCATGCGATTGCATTGTGAAAGAAACGTTGTGGAATCGATCAGAAAAGGTTTTGATCATCTAGCATATACGTATTGGTGTGTACTGCAAGGTTCTGAAATCATCAAAATGATAAGAACTTTGGCCCAGTATTGGTAAAGTTACAAGCACTGTACACAGAAAGATGTATCTGGGACTACGCGATATCTATCCAGGCCTGATAGATATGATAATAATTATTTACCAAATATATCAATTAGCAGGCGGTTTCCAGGCAAAAATTGTATCATCACGTAGATTAGTAAAAACATAGTTATTCTTTCACATGATTGGTAATAAGAGCTTTCATTTCATTTTTTTGAGAGGGGGCGTTTCCAAAACTGGTCTATGCCTTTAAGATGGGCTATTACAGACGTAATTGACCATGTCAGCCAGACAGAGTTACATGATGGGAATGATGAACACATGATTAAAGTTGAGCGTCATTAATACTCAGTTTCAGGAGAGCAGAGTCGACACGATGTGGTCCCTGGCCCCATTTCTCGGATTGATTTGTACTGAACTGGGCGTTGACACAGTTTACGAGGAGGGGGGGGGGGGGGGGGGGGCAGGGACGATGACATCCCCAGTGCTTTGCCAAATCACCCCCCCCCCCCCCCCGGACATAACTCTCTTCAGGGAAATATGAGAACCCCCCCCCCCTTTTGTTGTTTGTCCAAGACTTTTTTTCTTCAGGTCTATGCCCCTTTACAAATAGTGAGGCTCCGCCTCCACGTATGCATAGTCTGCGATGCCCCGCTGTTGCCGCCGCCCTTTTGTATTCATCCACCGAAAGATCAATTCGATTTGAGTGCAGACGCCCTTCGGAGACTGGCAAGTGTGATTGCCACACAAATTAGGCCTAATTGCAGGGCAACCGTCCACGGGACAGAGTGGCGATGGATTGAGAACAAATATATAGAATTGGAGAAGGAGAAAGGGAGGGAGGGAAAGAGAGAGGGGGAGAGAGAGAGAGAGAGAGAGAAAGAACATAACTTAGGAAATCATCAGCACATTAGAGGAAGGTAGACGAAGTGATCTGAGAGGGAAAGAGAGAGAGAGAGAGAGTGGGAGGGAGAGGGAGAATAAGACAGAGTTGAGCCTTAAGGAGACACACTTTATCGACCAGAGAAAGGCTTTTTATTCTCCTTTAAAATGAGAAATGCAATGAACATTATAACCTGCTAGTTGAACCCGCATTGTTTTACATCTGTATCACGTACCTCCTTTTCTTCGGAAATTGCATTTATATAGACAATATTACTCCGTACCCGGTATTATTGTTACATCAATGCGTTACTCTTTTTATCAAATTAAATCCCAAATCCAATCGATAACCATTTGGAATGTGCAGTTTTAGCAGAAATCACACCATCGCACATACTCTTTCCAGATACTGTACATAGAATCTATTATGCATACATAGCTTTCACGGATCAATGCAAACCCAATTACAGAGCATGTAGACGATGGCTTTGCTGTTCAGTACATTAGGTAATCTAATCTATCCATCGACGAGGGATCGCTCTGCGCTTTTTTAAAAATCAAATCAATCGTTTCTAAAAAAATGATCTTTTAATTCGGGGAATGCGTTGCTTTCATTACCATGTAAAACATGTTAACCTTTCAATTGATCTTTCCATTTTGCTTATTTAATGATCCGTTTGGTATTAGACGGGGAAAGTGTACCATTTCGTAACGAACCCCATGTTCGTGATCGTTTTTCTTTACCTCATCCACTTCACGTGCTTCATCTGGTCGTTCTCTCTTACCGTGTTTGGGCGAAAAAAATGTTATTTTTATATAAATTGAGAATATATTTTCGTTATATCATGCAAACATAATTATGACGGAGCGTCCAGCCTTCGAGGCTTTTCTAAGTTTTCTCTTTTTAGGATTACAAACAGGCTGTATATGGATGGAGTTATTCAATAGTACATTGTTCATGATGTTCACATGGGACGTCGAAGAGAAACGTGGCATATGTTCACGTGCCGTCCCGTGCATAGCTTTTTCGTTATAGTCATGTTTAGAGGAGAAGGCAATTGAACAAGTTTTAGTCAACTTGCAAGTTACACAACTTCTATTTTATCCAATATATCTCGAATAAGGACTCATGTCTTTCTTCAAATTTTGCACACCGCGGTTGCTTCTTCAGATCCTTACTTTTTGTTGCCCCATATCTCTCTCTCTCTTTCTCTCTCTCCCTCTCTCTCTCTCTTCCTCTCTCCCCCTCTCTCTCTCTCTCTCTCTCTCCCTCTCCCTCTATCTCTCTTTCTCCTCCTCCCTTTCCCTCTCCCCTCTCTCTCTCTCCCCTCTCTCTCTCTCTCTCTCTCTCTCTATCTCTATCTCTTTCTTCCCCTCCCTTTCCCTCTCCCCTCTCTCTCTCTCTCTCTTTCTATATCTTTCTCCCCCTTCCTTTCCCTCTCTTCTCTCTCTCTCGGTCTCTCTCTGTCTCTCTCTCTCTCTCTCACACACACACATATATTCTCTCACTCTCTCTCTTCCTCTCTTCCTCTCTCTCTCTTTCTCCCTCCCTCTCATTCTCATCAATTGTTTTCCTTCTCTCTGTTGTGACACAACCCTTCCTTGTCCTATCCAATTACCCCCCCCCCCCCAATGTCTTGGAATTGCCTGATAATGATACCGCGAAGTGAAGATTGGATAGGCAAACATAAAGATCATTTTGTCTGCTCCCATCTCGTCTTCCTCACGAGCCGTCTCGCATCTCATTCTGAGAAGCCAAAATTCGAATGATCACAACCATCGCAAACCTGATATTAGGCCTCCTGCACACTGTGTAAGGAAATTTGCGCCTTCACCAATAGACTTTGGTAGTTATGTGGCGAAGGCTCTTGACTCTTATAAAATAGGTCCCGGGTTCGATCCTTCGCTAGGTGCTCACATAAACGGATAAGATGTTTTAGACATATCGTCCCTCTCGACTCAAGTGTATTAAATGAGTACCTGGCGATACTCTTGTCTTTCTCGCGAGCCGTCTCGCGTCTCATTCTGAGAAGCCAAACTTCGAGGCCCGAATTCACAAAGCAAGGTTTGAGCTCAGACCAAGGTTTGAGCTCAAACCTCCTTTTGTTTCGCCAAACCTCTCTTTGTTATTTACAAACCAGGTTTGTAAATAACAAAAGGAGGTTTGGCGAAACAAAAGGAGGTTTGAGGTCAAACCTTGGTCTGAGCTCAAACCTTGCTTTGTGAATTCGGGCCACAATGATCAACTATCGCAAACCTGATAAGGCCTCCTCCACACTGTGTGGGGGTAAATCGCGCCTTCACCAATACATTTTAATAGTGGTGAAGGCTATTGACTCTTATAAACTAGGTCCCGGGTTCGATCCTTCGCTAGGCGCTCACATAATATTATACGGATAAGATGTTTAAGACATATTTGTCCCTCTCAACCCAAGTGTATAACATGAGTACCTGGCGATACTCTTGTCTTTCTCACGAGCCGTCTCGCATCTCAATCTTAGAAGCCAAACGTTGAATGATCAGCCATCGCAAACCTGATATTAGGCCTCATCCACACTGTGTGCGGTAAATCGCGCCTTCACCAATACACGTTGGTAGTTATGTGGCGAAGGCTCTTGACTCTTATAAACTTGGTCCCGGGTTCGATCCTTCGCTAG